CCACAAAATCATATATGCTGAAAATAAAGATATTTTACCTAAGAAGACTAAGAGGCATAACACCAGGGGATTCTGAAGCTGGAACTGTTTCAGTATCAGTTACTGGAGTAGTAGCAGTGGTAGTATCCTCCAGAGAGCTGCTCATGAAAGATGTCGTGCTAGAAGCAGAAGGGCTGGTAGTAACTGGTGTTTGGGCTTGTTGAGATGGATCACCTTCTTCTACTTGTTGATCTACTTCTGCAACAGAAAAAAGGACATTACAGGAACGTTAACATAATTCTGTGGAGAAAAACAGTAGCTGTAGCTAAACTTTCAAACTATCATTATTTAAAATTCCCCCCAAAAGAAAGGGGTGTGCAGAAATGCACACCATACAATACTTCCGCCAAATACTCATGGACTTATGTAAAGAAATCAGTCTATTGGTTGTTTGCTGTTGTCATACCGATACAAGGTAAATAGCAAACAAGCCTTTCCAGATGATAACAGAAGCCATTTACTTGGTTACATCTTCTGATATTGAGATTTAGATTTATGATTGTAACAGCTAGGATTATTCTCTTAGGCAAAAGGGAAAGAAGTCTCAAGATATGGAAATAGAGCTGATGAACTATAAAGCTATTTTTAACTCAGCTCAGCCGTGTAACAGATTTTTGAAGGGTTTTTTTAGTTGGTTTAGAAAAAGTCCTTAAGACAGTAAAGAGCCAGATAGCACAGTAACTAGCTTTAATATTTTAGATACTTTTCCTTTGTTTAAACTGATTTAAATGGTTTCCCTGAAGATGCAGACTGTAATACACGTATTTTTAAGAAGAAAAACAATGATAACACATTTTCTCTTCAGCTTCTGTTACTACAGTGCCAAATATCTCAGAAAAAACCCTCTGAAAACAAAACCCCAAAACCAAAACTGCACAACTGATTTAGAGATTTTCACAGACAGAAACACAGGTTACGTACACCCTGAACATACACATGCTCAACATCATCTGTTAACATGACTGCATACAAACACATTTAACAACAGTGAACTTTATGATATTTATGTCACATACAAATCCTTCTGACAAGTATATACAAAACTGCTCATTTTTAAAAAGTATTAAAGACAAATTAGAAACTCTTATATTTCTGATTGACTGATACGCATTCACTTTTTACTAAAGGAATTAGGGAAAAGGCAAAAAAGCCAGTATTGTATCTACAACACAGTTAAACATCTTTGTAAAATTTCTCTGTCCAATTAAGATTCCTCCAAAGTATAACCACTACAAAATTACAAGATGATGTTATTTGTGTTATCATTATTACTATTCATTTTAATAGAGGTAAAAAAGTAATTTAGCACTACACTTCCATAATGTTGAAAATGTACCTTGTTTAAGTCTGCCACCAAACTGATCCTCCAGCAGCCCATGAACGACTAATTTGTAGATCATGGCTTGTGCTCGTTCCAAATCTGCCAGTCCTAGAGCTCTTTTAATCGGTGAACGCATGACTGCCCGTTTCACCATGTGTCGCATCAGGAACTGCAAGGCAGCACGCATTTCAACATCTTCATGAACAACTGGAGAACTAGCACAATCAGAGTTGTGACCATTTTCTGCCAGGACTTTTGGTATTAACAGTAGTTCAGCATATTTACTACAACTAAGAAGAACACTAAGTGACTTCATAGCACCAAGATAAAGATAAGATAGCTGTACTGCTCTGATTTCTGACTGCACTATATCATGATTTCTTGGAGTATGTTCATGATTCTTTTTTCTTCCTTCAGCAGGTTGGTGTTGGGATTCCATACCTAGTGTCGATGGTTCTAAAGAAAAGGAAGCAATTTCATTCTCCGACTTAGAGCTTGTAGCGCTATGTCCTTTGTTATCATCAGCACTTTGTCCTAATCGCGTATCTGATCCAACATCACCCTCCGTTTTCTGGTCCATTTCCCCTTTATCTTCAGATTCATGCCTGTGTTTTTTCTCATGTCTCTTGGTGCCTTGTTTTCCCATATCTTCATGAATACCAGTCAGATAGGTAAGGTCCAGCAACACAGTAGCTGTCAGCCCACGAAATCTTGCAACATCAAAAGGCAGTGGTTCACAGGGCTCCAGATTATACAATGGAGTATCACTAGGCGACCAAAAAGTTGGGAAGCTTTAATAAAGATCAGAATGACACAGGAAAAAGCAAGTGAGGGAGAGACAGGAGGAAAGTACAGGAAATAATGTAGGCAAAGTAAGATGTAAAATATATTTAATAAAATAAACAAACCAATTCTAAAAATTAAAGGTAAACAGGGGAAAATGAGGTTATGAGCAGAAAATGGGGAGATGTGGTATCAGAGCAAAGGCAACAAAGCATGCACAGGTTTTCAAAAACAAGCATTAAAACCCAGAAGTATCACAGAAGCTATCAGTTCTGTGCTGACAGAGGTTTCTGCTATATTATTTGGAAATCTGTAACACACTTCTACTAAGAAAAACTACCTTAGGCCAAATTTTATCATCACAGCTGAGCTGAATTTGTGAATAGGTATAAAAGCTTAGAAAGCAAGCACTCCTAAACTTTTTTCACGCTAAGGAAAAGCTTTGATTGACCTCACATTCCTGTTCAACTATTCATCACAAGGAGCACACTACTAATAGCTTGTGATAATTCTGTCTCTGGTTATGTCAGGACAGATTACCTAGCGAGGACAGTGACTTTTTAAAAAAACAGGTCAGAAAACCCAACAGGCACACATAATATATGTCTGTGTGTCCATCTATATTCAGCGATAATTTTTTGTAATATTGAGGACTGTTACACTTGACCAATTTTCACTCTAAGCTGGATAAAAAGCCACCAGCCTATATTTCCATACGTCTTGTATTTTCCACACATCCAGCAGATAAAGGACTTTTAAATTTTCCTTTTGCTATCCCAAAATGTTTTCCCATCTTACAATGTAAACTTCTACCTAAAACTGAAAGCAAGCGTTAGCCTGGTTTTAATTAAGAAGGTACATTCTGAACTTAATTCAATGCATTACCAAGAGCTTGCCTATGTTCAAGTGCTGTACCACTTCACTCAAATAATATTTCACATTATTTTACAGGCACATTTACTTTAAGGCTATACTGTCACATGGGCATACTTGAAAGAATTTATACCTGGAACTAAATTTGTCAATCAATTGCACTTCAGTATACTTAGTTAAAGTGACAACAGCCTTTGCATAAAGACAGAATAGGCATAATGTTGCAACAGTTCTAAGAGGTGAACTGACCTCGGCTGTTTCAGAATGCAATTGTAACTGGTGGCAAAAAAAAATAATTACTGCTCAATTTCTCCAGAAGATTACGGTTCAACTACAGCCAGAAGAGTTTATGAAATTTAGTGAATCCAATCTTTTCTTCACAAAACCACAGGCAATTCCTGTGAGAGCACCAGAGAGCCCAGAGAAGCCACTAGCTTAATTTCAGAGTTTCCTTCCAACTGCCTTCCCTTTGAAGGCACATCTGCAAGATAGGTGGAAAAAGGAGTTATCTCCTTCCAGCCTCCTCCCCAATTCTCACCATCATCTGCATAGCAGCTCTGGAGTGTTAACAACTTATACAGGGGCATTCCTTCAGCTCTCTAAGGCAGGTCAGAGAATGAACAAACACTACTTTGAGGCAGCATTAATTTGAATACCATCATCCAACCCACGAAGAGAGAATCCTCCCATCTCCTGACCTTAACCACTCCTCAAGCCCCACAGAGCAACCTTCAGTCCCCTAAGGAGGGAATGACAATGCAGCAAAGACACCTGTTCTCAACTCCGATAAACCGAATCAGGTCTCTCTTCAGAACCAGGTTCACCATTTACAACAAAAGTGTGCACTAACCCCCAGTAAAAATCTGTGTTCTTTACAGACATAACCAAGAAGCTGTAGTAAATTAAGACAGCAATAATGTTCTAGTTAGCCAATACATACAAATTCTAAACCAAGCAACGCTCATTTCAAATCTAGGAAAACTGGCAACCTGGTCACATCCCAACTCTGAAACCTAGAGGCCAAATCTAAGAAGTCTAATGATGCTCATCCATTCAAAACTATCAATTTCTGATATACAAGGCACTTTATTACTAGATAGCATAAAAATTTAACTATTTGTTTTAAAAAGCCAAATTTTGAATCCTAAGCTTAAAATAATTGATCAGCATGACTCTAATGTAAAATGTACATTACTCCTGAAGATTTCCAAGCACAAAACACCACTAGATTGTGAAAAGTGTAGGAAATGAGCATACCTGATAGTAATCTCTGCTTCATCCCATTGGACCTTGGCAGACGTACTGCCTTCCTTCACTACTCCAAGCAAGGTAGCGTGACGTCCGGTTTGCTTGTGTACACATCGACCTCCAACTCTAAGACCAGCATCAACTCCACCAATTACTGCTAGAACAGGCCACACTTCCACACAGAGCATCTTCAACTGCAGTTCTGAAAGGTCAGCCAGACCATGCCTACTATGCTTGCTTTTCTCCTCCTCTTTATTTTCTTTTTCCTCTCTCACCTCATTCTCTTCTCGACTTTGAATTGAGCGACTTTTCTTCAGCTTTTGGCCTGCTTCTTTAAGACATGTTTTGATTTTATTCAGTCTTTCCATCATTTTTTTATTGATGCAGTGTGTCCAACGGTCTGTGCGATGAAGGATACGAATGAGTTGGATAGTGGCTTCTGCCAGCACTGCAGCAACAGGACTACAGATGGGGTCACCAGGTAGCAAATCTCTTGGTGTACCACGCATCTGCATATCACAGATTTTCACCTAAGTGTTTAAAGAGAACAATTGAAAAGTTATCTTCTCAACATACCTGAAGCAGCTAATTTTATAAATACAGGAGTCTCATGCTGAATAGAAAAAATTGCTAGCATTGTCTTTTTTTGCTTGGGCTCCACAGGAAATCCACCTTAACACTGATCAAAACCTGCATCCCCTTCAGACTCAAGAATGCTGAAATTACAACAGTTCATGGTTTCTCACATCTATCCAGAATTCCTAATACTACACTCTCCCTGGTTTCTGGGGAATTCAATTTTTTGTGTAGAACATTCAAGTCTGTAAATCAATTCTAAATAATAAAATACATTTTAAATTTGCAACAGATTGCACAATATAGGAATTTATGAAAAGTCTAGCTAGTGAGTCATATAGTGCTATGTATGTCATAAACTAAAATTAATTATCAGTGACATTCTCCGCACTTGTTAGCTACCACGCCTACCCCCCAAAAAACCCAACATCCATAACATTGACACAGAGGAGAACAGAAGGGAAAGGATAAACTTATGACCTATTGTTGAGGGTTAATGCCAGCAAGGCAGCTAAGCCGCACACAGCCACTTGATCACTCCCCCCAGCAGGATGGGGAAGAGAATCAGAAAGACAAAAGTGAGAAAAGATAACATTTCATAAATAAAAGGAAAAACCTAAAACAAAACAAAGAAAAACAAGTGATGCAGAATGCAACGGCTCACCACCAGCTGACCGATGCCCAGACAGTCCCCGAGCAACGGAAACCCCGGGGAAACCTCCCTGCAGTTTTATTGCTGCACATGATGTTATATCATACAGAATATCCCTTTGGTCACTCTAAGTGAGCCAACCGGCTGCACTCCCTCCCAGCCTCTTGCCTACCCCCAACATACTTGCTGGGAGGCTGGGAGGGACAGAGTGAGAAACCAAGAAAGCACTGATGCTGTGTAAACACTGTTCAGCAATAGCTAAAACACTGTACATTGTCAACACTGTTTTGGTCCTAAATCCAAAACAGCACCATACAGGTTGTTATGAAGAATAATGACTTTATCTCAGCCAAAACCTATGGAGATGAACATTTAAATTACCTTTTCTCCTGGATTACTGCTATAGAACATAACACAAGGGTATAACTCTGCTGCATCCACATCTTCAAAAGCTAGTTTGGGCTCCTAGTTAAAAAGCAAAACAAGAAACCCCAAACTTAGAACACCTTAACAAGCAAAAATACAAAACGTGACAATGGTATACTTGTATTATAACCCTTTGAAGTACTGAATCTGTCATGTGCCTTAACTGTCATGCTTAGCTTTATATAAAATACCCAAGCCAAATTAGTGTTGCAAAAACCACCAAAAAATACAATTAATGTTAAATACCTCTCCATTTTTACCAAATGAGATAGTTCTTGCTTCCATATCCAATACGCATGTGATGAAATCTCCTTGGGTAAAGCTGGACAGAGTCAAAGTTTGTTCTCCATTGTGATAAAGGTTACCACTATAGGCTCTATACAGCCACATATCTGAGGTAGTGCGATGGTTAAAATCATGTACTGGCCAGCGAGAAACTCCTACACATGTGCCTTCATTGCCTCGATTCTCCTTCACAATGTAGAACTAGCAGGCAAAACAAAACAAAAAAACAGGGGAAAAAAGTCAAGAATATACATTTTAACATAATAAAGCAATGAAAATTTAACTTGCAAATATTTATGCATACTTTCAACTGGTTTGCTCAGAAGCTTTTAATAAATAAAAAATAAGCTAATAAGCTTATTAATAATTGTTAATAAACATGCTCTACCTCTAAAATGACACCTTGGTGTATAAGGTCAGTCATTAACAAGTCATTTAAACTTAACACACTAGCCATTAAGAAAACTGAAATACACAAAAGCAGCTGGTTTTTTTCCCCAGACTCAAAACAGAAGTTGGGTTATAAGTGCTAAAAATATTACGGAAATAAATATGCTTTACTCCTCATGTTCACAGCAAGTGATTTACACAGATTCAAGTTAAAAAAGAAGCAAAAATATTATGCTCAAAGATGGTACTAACAAGGACTACAACTCTGTATGTATCTATATTCCCACAAAAAAAATCGCTCCAGATAATGTATCAAAAGCTGGTCTTGTCAGTTAGACAGGCTCACGTGTCTTTTTGCAAGAAAACAAAACGCTTTGTGAAGTGTTTTCCTAAAGAAAAAATTCAAAATCTACTTAGTTCAGTAGGTAACTCTTGCAAGACAACACACATTTGTGCTGACTATGGATCTTAGGGTGATCCATAGTCATATAGCTCTTAGGAGCTTAGAGGTGACAGTACACACCTCTACAAATACGCAACACATATTCACTGTCTCCAATATGTGTACCGAAATATCCAAATCGCAGTGCTCAAAAGCAGCCACAAACTCTTCACTTTGGATTGAAAATCATAGAATCATAGAATCATTTAGGTTGAAAAAGACCCTTAAGATCATCAAGTCCAACTATAAACCTAACGCTGCCAAAAGGTCATTTACTCAAGAATGTTGTCATAAGGGAAAAAAAGGTAGGCAGCTGTTGTTTATAAATCACAGTATATTTCCAAAACAAAGTAAGAGAAGTTAAGAAATAGTTTTATGCAACTTACCTTCCACTGGTAACACCCAGAAGTAACTCCAGTGGATGCTAAACCATATCCTTTACCTCCACTTCCATGAGTTAGAATCTGCCCATTTTCCACTATGCAGCATTGAGCTTTCTCAGGGTCAAAGGACACTTCCTGTATTGGAAGATTCTCATCTTCATCTTCAGACTCTCCTTGCTTCTATCAGAAATAGGACAAAATCTTTGTGGTAAATGTAACTCAGCTGCATTCAGTCAAAATAGAAAGCAAAAGCATCATTACCTGTAGCTTCATTTCTTGTTCTTTCTCCTTTATTTGAATTGCATGTTTAGCCTGAGCTATTGGAGTCTCCCACATGCAGTCAGACAGAAGTGAGAATAATCGTTCAACAACCTGGTGTATTAGAATATAATTCAGATCATTTTAAATCCAAGATGAGGACAACAGATAATATTACATTGTTTTATTTTGCTTTGTAGGTGTAAGTGTCAAAACATTTAGTGCTCTTAGATAAGCAAATATCTACACTGAGCCTCACCTGATTTGAATTCTGAACAAACCTATGAAACATTTAAAAGTTTAATGAGACTTCTTGAAGAAACAGGTGTAAAAGCTTGTAACAAAATATAAAGACCTGAGCCATTTGATCATCTTCAACGCCAGATTCACAAGCAGGTAATACAGCTTCTAGTACATGAAGTGCAAGAAGTCTAGTCCTCAAATTGCCAACCAAGGGAACTCCTAAAGATGGAACAATATGTTAATAAACTGAAAGTGACTTCCGCGTCAGGTACGCACCTACGATGCCAGCTTCATGCCACCAGTGCACAATTTTCCAAAGTGTAACTTGTGTACATCTACGGAATGTTAGTTTTAGTTGTTCACTGTGTAACACATGTTCTAACAGGACCTATTTGTAGGAACTGCACTACAGAAATGCAAGTAATCACTGAGTACGTTCTGAAGATCTTACCTGAGCAACACTTCTGAGAAGCAATGTTAAGTAGTACTTCTGTCCACTTTGGAGATGCCATTTTTGACTGAATTGCTTTTGAAGACACAACTCTACGTAAGAAAACAAGAAAGTCTCCCAAGTGCAGTTCCGCTGCATGTTGCTTTCGGAGGGCAGCTAGGGAGTTAAATTAAAAGTTTTCATTTACAACCTTACTTCTACAGTATCTGCAAATAACAATTTTTAAAGTCAAGGTCAAAGTAGGAAAAAGAAAAAAATTAAGGCAGACATTCACAGTTGAGTTTTGGATGTTTCCATTTTTGAGAGTAGTGAGTCCAGAACAGAATACAGCCAGCTGATATTGCTAGGCTACACTGCACGGACTAGCACACATTTGGAAAAACACAGCTACTCAAATAACACACAGGGCATTATGGACCACAGGTGCTTTGGTATGCTAAGATTTATAAACAACTGTACAGGAAATTACTGTATGTATCTTATCAAAAGTGTGGCTATAGAACCACACCTCAGTATTTGTAAGCTCTATATATTTAATATAAAATATAGCCAAGCAACTCAGAGATAGAAGTAACCATTTCAAGTCTGTCATAGACTTGAGTGGAAGATGACAGAAAATATTACCAGTCCTTGGTACTGGTAACAAAGTACTCTGTAAGTAAAAATACGATGATCAGTTATTACATGATGGCTGGCTGTTAACCTTAGCTGGCTGACAGGTGCCCACCAAGCTGCTCTCTCACTTGTGCTCCTCAGCAAGATGGGGAGAAAATAAGAGGAAAAGTTCATGGGTCAAGATAAGGGCAGTGAGATCACTCACCAATTACCACCATGGGCAAAACAGACTTGGCTCGGGAAAGATTAATTTAATTTATTGCCAATGAAAAACAGAGTAGGATAGTGAGAAACAAAGACAAAATTAGAACACTTTCCCCCCCAGCTTCTTCCTAGGCTCAGCTTCACTCCTAACTCTTCTACCTCCCCACCCCTGAGCCGAGCAGGGGTATCAGGAAAGCGACAGGGTTGAGGTCACTTCATAACACTTTGTCTCTACTACTCCTGCTCTATAATGGGTCCTTCCCATGGGCTGCAGTTCTTCAAGAACAGCTCCACTGTGGATCTTTTTCCACAGGATACAGTCCTTCAGGAACAGACTGCTCCAGCGTGGGTCCCCCACAAGCCAGTTTCTGCCAGAATCGTGCTCCTGTGTGGGCTCTCCATGGGCTACAGCTTCCTTGAAGGCATAGCCACCTGCTCCAGAAGGGGTCCTCCATGGGCTGCAGATGGACAACCTGCTTCACCATGGTCTTCTCCACTGGCTACAGGGGAATCCTTGCTCCACCGCCTGAAGCACCTCCTCCTCGTCCCATTCCTTCTTCACTGACCTTGGTGTTTGCAAAGTTGTTTCTCATTTTGACCACTCCTCTCTCACAGCTGCTGTGCAGCAGTGGGTCTGTTTTGGAGTTGGCTGAAACTGGTTCTGTCTGACATGGGGGCAAGTTCCTGATTTCTTCTCACAGAAGCCATCCCTGCAGTCCCCTCCCACTACCAAAACCTTGCCATGTAAATCCAACACACACGATTATTTATAAATGTCCCTGTAATATAAAATGTAACCATTGGTTTCTAAGTATGTTTTTGTTTTATGGGGATTTTTGATGCAAAGCACTATACTTCCTCACACCCCCGATTCATCTTCCAAGACAGTTTTAACAAGAAAATATCTGTGGAAAGAGAAGACCTTATATCCTAATTTCTAATTAATTATCTTATGAACTCATCAGCCATTGCATTATTTATAAGCAAAGACAGTTATAAGCACAACCAAAACATATGTACACCTAAAACCAAGCTACAATTAAACATTTCTTCAAACACACAATTTCCATAGAAATTCAAAATGCTCATTAAGGGACTGCAAATTATGTGAAGATATTAATATTTCAGAAAATCTTTTGTTGCAGATTTTTTTAATATGACACGATAGGGTCAACCTCTTCCCATCAACTCAGACTGCAAAACTGCATAATACAAAGCAAATACAACAATTTCCTGAATTAAGCTATATTTATTTGCAGTTTGAAATTTAGATAATTAAATTCCTATGACCGCATTTATGAAAAACACTACTACCAATAACTCATTGAGGAAAACAGTATTCTCCTCCTAATTCCAAACCAGATGGAGTAATTCTTACTCTCAACCTACTCCTACCTTTAAATTGATTTCTGTATCAAGTCTATATAAATCTGACCTGAGCACAAAATTATTTGATGACTGTATTTAATCTAATTTGCAGAGTTAAGAATGATCCAACAATAATCAATACAGAGTGGGTGAAGGCCTCAGCATTCAGTGGTTTCTTTTATAATGTTTTCTGGTATTTCAAAATTGTAACAGAAATGATGCAAGATAATTACCTCTGAAGTCTCTCTTCTCATTATCCCCATTTGAATCTGCCTTTTTTGATTCTACTTCATCTTCCTCACCTTCCCCTTCTCCAAAGGAAGCCATAAGCATCACACCAGCTTGTGATAACAAGTTCTTCAGCTGACTGCATAATAAATCCAGCAAAGACTGGACCACCTTTGGGCTCAGTTTGTCAGCATAGGTTCTATACACACAAAAAAAAGTAAATGTAAGAGTACTTGAGAGCTGATCCAAGGAACAGTAACATAAAGACACAAACATAAACTCAGTGCAAGTAACAACTGGGCCTAACACAGCAATACTTCTGATTCATCCTATTGCAGCAGGTTACTTTTCCTCATCTTCCACCATATGGTTGGCAGATTATTCTTATCTGAACCCTATTTTTAAGACATTTTAGAACTGTCCAATCTGTGGAATCAAAGGACACATTTCCAGTAATTCCTAGCAGAACAACTTAGTCAATTAAACATAATTCCACTGCAACTTCCAAAGATCGGAGTGTTGTTTTGTGGGTTGGTTTTTGGATTTTTTTTGGCGGGGGAGGAGGTGGGGCAGGGGGGAAGGTATTGTTTTTTTTTTTTACATGACGGATTTGGCAGGTAAATGCAATGTGTTGTATGAACACTGAAATGAAGATGCATGTACTGAAAATTAAATAATACTGTTGCTCTAAATAGAAAATACTTTCTCCACTGCGTTTTTCTTTACTGAGTTAAACTAAATATTTAAGTGTTGACGGGATTTTGAATGCTGTTCCCTAGACTAGCAGAGTCCAGTATTCCTCAGAAAATTACTTTATATTCTGAAAAAAAAGCACAATGTACTGCTCTGAAGAACTCCTACCACGTTATTGGTATTGCCTTTACACAAATGGCTTTTACACAACAACAGAAAGCCTCATCATATCAACTGAACAGATCTAGATACAAAGCCAAACTAGAAAAATGGGGAATACTAGAATGCAATGTTTACAGACCATAAAGTTCTAACTATTCTGGTCCAAACTCCTCAGAATTTAAAAAGATTTATCAGTCTTATGTACATCTTATGAATAATGTGACTACTCCCCCCCCCCCC